TTAACCGACTGCACCACCCAGGCGCCCCTGTTTTTGTTTTTTAATTTCATTAAAAATTACAGTGAATTTTTCATTGAACTTTCATTAAAAGTTACAGTGAATAAGACTAAGTATTTCAAACAATCTTGGTTTAATCAAAAGCTACAATTTTACGTCTCATACCAGTATTAATACAATGATAATGATAAGTCTTTCTTCCTTTTCCCCCGTGTACTTTTAGGGCTTCATGTAAACTCTGAAGAATCGTGCAAAATGTTTTAGGCTCCTGTGACAGGAACTCAACTCATTACATCTTTATTCCCAATCCCTACCACCTTACTTCCATCTTTGTAACCTTTTGTCCCAGCTAGGGACTTGCTCTCAGGGATCACCAGCCTACACGGCTCCACTGTGTGGGAAGCTGGCCTTGCAGGCTACATTACATAAGCATACATTTCCTGACTCCTTAGTTTCATAGAAAAATGAATAAGCCAGACAACTTGCTTTCCCTCTACGTTGGCAAACTATGGCTTTTGCGAGTGAAATTTGATTGGAACGCCACCACCCACATTCATTTGTGCATTGTCTGTGGCTGCTTTTGCACTCCAGTGGCATAGCTATGTAGTTAGGACAGAGACCATCTGCCCCGTGAAGCCCAAAATATTTACTATCTGGCCCTTTACCAAAAACTTTGCTGACCCCTGTCTGAGTCTATCTCATCCTTTCGGATACTTGCTAAATTACTGATGAAATAGTTGTGATGCCAGCAGGCAGGGTCCAAGGACCCAGAGAGGGCGTCCCTTAGGACCAGCCAATCAGGTCCCAGTCTGCACACAAGGGAGAAATTAAGTAGGAGCCAGCAGGAGGTGAAAGTGAAGTTTACTGAAGGTATAGAAAGCGTGTAGGTACAGAGCATCTGGGAGACTCAGAAAGGAAAGGAGAGAGTGTCCCATCTTTGTTCCGGGTCTGGGGCTTATACTGAGGATCGTGGTCTGGTGCACGTGCCCTCTCAGGCATCCAGGAACCGGTCAGAACAAAGATGAGGGCCCAGGTGTTAGTCTTTGGAGCCAGGAGATCTTGGCGTCAAGATATCTAGCGCTGGTGGTCTGGAATATGCCTATGATGGCTTCCTCTGGTCGTTCTCACCTGGTCCTTCCTTAAATGTTATCTGTTCGAAAGAAGTCATTAATTTCTTGTCCCTTAGGAGGAGGACATACACTATTTGCATTATAACATATGTGTAAAGCGGGGGTGCAAGAATAGCAAGAATGGAAGCAGGAAGAGGAGCAAAAAGCAGATTTTTATAGAGTCCTTCAGTTTGCCTGTCTCGGTTGGACAAGATATTTGGTATCAAGGTCCTCATGTGTGACCCCCATGACATATTTACATTGGCATTTTAACCAGAGCTTTCAAGGAAAGGTTTGATTGAGATAGGTGGTTCAGTTACAGTAATAAATCTATGTACTTTTATACTTTTTACCAATTCTGTTACCTTATAGAGAGTTGTTTCAGTGCAGTGGTATTGTAGTAAAATGCTTGGTGTTGTAATGACTCAGGAGTTTAAATTTTCTTTCCCCATTTAGCCAGATTCATCTTACATTACTTTCATGTTCCCTATTGCCATTGCTGTTCCTGATGTGACCTCCGGGCACATGGTTGAGGGCCACATTCCTGAAGCTCTTGCCAAAGGCCAATTTAGAGGATTGGAACTTGCTTTTCTTTCTCTGCCTCTTTTTTAATGTTTATTTATTTTTGAGAGAGACAGAGCGTGAGCGGGAGAGGGGCAGAGAGAGAAGGAGACACAGAATCTGAAGCAGGCTCCAGGCTTTAGGCTCTGAGCTGTCAGCACAGAGCCCGATGCGGGACTCAAACCCATGAACCATGAGATCATGACCTGAGCTAAAGTCAGATGCTCAACTGACTGAGCCACCTAGACGCCCCTGGGATTTTCTGTATATAGTATCATGTCATCTGCAAATAGTGAGAATTTTGGATGTCTTTTATTTCTTTTTGTTGTCTGATTGCTGTGGCTAGGACTTCCAGTAGTATATGTTGAATAAAAGTGGTGATAGTGGACATACTTCTCTTATTCCTGATCTTTAAAAAAAAATTTTTTTTAATGTTTATTTATTTTGAGAGAGAGAGAGAGATACAGCATGAGCTGAGGAGGGGCAGAGAGAGAAGGAGACACAGAATCGGAAGCAGGCTCCAGTCTCTGAGCTGTCAGCACAGAGCCCGACACGGGGCTTGAACTCACGGACCCCGAGATCATGACCTGAGCTGAAGTTGGACACTTAACTGACTGAGCCACCTAGGCACCCCCTTACTCCTCACCTTAAGGCAAAAGCTCTCAGTTTTTCACCATTGACGATGATGTTAGCTGTGGGTTTTTCATATATCGCCCAGGGGCACCTGGGGGACTCAGTCGATTAAGCATCCAACTCTTGATCTCATCTTAGGTCTTGATCTCACGGTCATGAGTTCAAGCCCCGCATTGGACTCTATGCTGAAGGCTTGAAGCCTACTTAAAAAAAAAATATCAGACTACAGAAAAACAGTATTTTCATATATGGCCTGTATAATGTTGAAGTATGTTCCCTCTAAACCTACTTTGTTGAAGGTTTTTATCATGAATGGATGTTGTACTTTGTCAAAATGCTTTTTCTTGATCTGTGGAGATAATCATATGGTTTTTATCCTTTCTCTTATTGATGTATCACATTGATTTGTGAATATTGAGCCATCTTTGCATTGCAGAAATAAATCCCACTTGATCATGGTGAATAATTTTTTTAATGTATCCTTGGATTTTGGTTTGCTAATACTCCGTTGAGAATTTTTGCATCTATGTTCATCAAAGATATTGGCCTATAGTTCTTTTGTGGTGTCTTTATCCGGTTTAGGTATCAGGGTAATGCTGTCCTCATAGAATGAATTTGGAAGCTTTCCCACCGCTTTTATTTTTTGGAATATTTTGAGAAGAATATGTATTAACTCTTCTTTAAATGTTTGATAGGATTCAACTGTGAAGCCAACTGGTTCTGGACTTGTTTCTTGGGAGTTTTTTGATTACTGATTCAATTTAATTGCTGGTAATCAGGCTGTTCCAATTTTCTATTTCTTCTTGATTCAGTTTTAGGAGGTTACATGTTTCTAGGAATGTATCCATTTCTTCTAGGCTATCCAATTTGTTGGCATATAGTTTTCCATAACATTCTCTTAATAATTATTTGTTTTTCTGTGGTGTTGGTTGTTATTTCTCCTCCATGATTTTTGCTTTTGAGTGCTCTCTTTTTTTCTTTTTTTGATTAGTCTGGCTAAAGGTTTATAAATTTTGTTAATCTTCTCAAGAAATGAGCTTCTGGTTTCATTGATCTGTTCTGTTGGGGGTTTTTAGGTTGTATTTCATTTATTTCTGCTCCAATCTTTATTATTTCCTTCCTTCCACTGGTTTTGGGTGGGTTTTTTTCTGGTTCCACCCACTCCTTTGGGTGTTTTTTTTTCTGTAAATTAGGTTGTTTGAGATTTTTCATGCTTCTTGAGGTAAGCCTGTATTGCTAATAAACTTCCCTGTTGGAATGGCTTTTGCTGCATCACAAAGACTTTGGACCATTGTGTTTTCATTTTCATTTGTCACCATTTATATTGTGATTTCCTCTTTGATTTCTTCCTTGAGCCATTCATTGTTTAGTAGCATGTCATTTAACCTCCATGTATTTGTTTCTTTCCAGATTCTTTCTTTTCTTATAGTTGATTTCAAGTTTAATAATGTTGTGGTCAGAAAAGATGCATGGTATGACCTCAATCTTTTTGAATTTGTGAGACTTTGTTGTGGCCAAACATGAGATCTGTTCTGGAGAATGTTCCATGTGCACTTGAAAAGAATGTGTATTCTCCTGTTTCGGGATATAAAGTTCTGAATATATCTGTTAAATTCATCTGGTCCAATGTGTCATTTAAAGCCACTATTGTCTTGTTGATTTTCTGTTTGATTGAATTGACCATTGATGTAATGAGATGTGAAAGCCCCCTACCATTATTGTATTCCTATTGGTTACTTCCCTTATGTTTCCTATTAGCTGCTTTATGTATTTGAGTGCTTTCATGTTGGGTGCATAAATATTTACAGTTATATCTTCTTGTTGGCTTCTCCCCATTTATAATTACATAGTTCCCATCTTTGTCTCTTGTTACAGTCTTTGTTTTTAATGTCTATTTTGTCTGATACAAGTATTGATACCATGGCTTTCTTTTCACTTCCATCTGCGTGATCAATATTTCTTCATCCTTTCACTTTCTTTTTTTTTAAATTTATTTATTTTTGAGAGAGAGAGTGAGGGAGGGGCAGAGAGAGAGAGAGAGAGAGA